CGGCCGCCAGCTCCGTCTTGCCCATCACCACCGCGACACCCCGTCGTATCGCCGTAGCACAAGTCGAGCTTCTTGACTCGGCTAAAACATGTCACTGGTATCTCCGCCAATCATGTCGCCCCATGTCGTCCGTCAGTGCCAGCCAGAGTTCAAGCCGTGATAAAGCCGCACGTGGGACGCTCCGTTGGTGGGAAACGGCGTTGAGTGTCTTGCGAAAGGCGTCAACCTTGTTTCGGAGGCTGCGAGTCTGTCTGTTCCCACAAATGAAACCTGGCGAGGTAACTACAATGAGCCCGGCATTTGGACACCGAATCCCCTGGTCCCCGTTTTTTATGGGCTCGGTTCGGTGACTGACGACAAATAAGTCGACGCATTTGGTACTCGTGGTTTGTTATTCATTTCTTTTTTTAACTTGACCGCTTTTCATCCTTTTCGTCTCTCTTCATTTATATATACAGCTTTGAGCCGCGTGGAGCTGCCTCTCTCACATCCACCCGAACAAACACCAAGAAAAAACACGCCTCAGCCGGCCGACATCGACATCCCCGGCTGCACACATCAGGCATGCCGCCCCGACTCACCAAGCTCTGGCGTCCCGTCGCCGCAGCTACCGCCGTCACGGCCGTCACACTTGGCGGAACAGTCATCTACTCTCGCGCCAACAAGAACCTCTCGCACGACAGGGCTCTCGTTCCGCCGCACCGCGACGCCAAGGGCAAAATCGTCCCTCCCGCCTTTCCACCCATCAGATCCCGAGCCGAGCAGCTCGCTGAGCTACGAAAGCACGACGCCAGAGACGCCGAGGCCCAGTATGACATCCTCATCATCGGAGGGGGTGCCACCGGCACGGGCATTGCGCTGGACGCCGTGACCCGCGGCCTCAAGGTCGCCCTGGTCGAGCGTGACGACTTCTCCGCCGGCACGAGCTCCAAGAGCACCAAGCTTGTTCACGGCGGCGTGAGGTATCTCGAAAAGGCCGTCTGGAACCTGGACTACCCGCAGCTGGAGCTCGTCATCGAGGCCCTCCGCGAGCGCAGGGGCTTCCTCAACATCGCGCCGCACCTGTCCAACTCCCTGCCCATCCTGCTGCCCCTGCAGAGCTGGTTCCAGGCGCCCTATCTCTGGGCCGGGTGCAAAATGTACGACCTGCTCGCCGGTTCCCAGGGCCTGGAGTCTTCCCACCTCCTCAGCCGGGCCAAGGCCATTGACTCGTTCCCGCTGCTCAAGAGGGACAACCTCGTCGGCGCCCTCGTCTACTACGACGGCCAGCACAACGACTCCCGCATGAACGTCTCCCTCGCCCTGACCGCCTCCCTGTACGGCGCCACCGTGCTGAACCACGTCGAAGTTACTGCTCTGGAAAAGGACGCCAACGGCAAGATTTGCGGCGCCACGGTCCGCGATCTCATGGGCGGCGAGGAATCGTCGTCGCGGGCCTTTACCGTGCGCGCAAAGGGCGTCATCAACGCCACCGGCCCCTTTGCCGATGCCATTGAGCGCATGGACGACCCCCAACGCAAGGAGATTATCGCCCCGGCTTCTGGCGCCCACGTCATGCTGCCCGGAAAGCTGTGCCCCAAGGGAATGGGCATCCTGGACGCTGCGACCTCTGACGGACGCGTGGTGTTTGTTTTGCCCTGGCAGGGAATGACGGTTGCGGGAACGACGGACAATGCGTGTGCTGTGGAGAGGGAGCCTGTTGCGAGGCAGGACGACGTCGACTTTATCTTGAAGGAGGTCAGCAAGCTTCTGGAGCCCGAGAGCGTTTTGACCCGCGACGATGTCTTGGCTACCTGGTCTGGTGAGTAAACCCCCCCCCCCCTTCCCCAAC